TAGTAATAAACTAATTATTAGTCTATGCAATACAACGTATAGACTAATATAATTAGTACTAGTCTAGATTATAAATCTAGAAGATAAGAAGAATTTAGCAGACTTAGATTATAAATCTAGGAATTAAGCAGATTTAATTATAAATTCTTATCTTTAGGCAGAAATAGGCAGATATTTATATAATTATTCTAGTAGCTATTTTCTATAAAAGAAATAGCAATTCTCTATAGTTATTCTTTACCTAGCAATAATATTATTACCTTTTACCTACTATTTACTCTGCAATTACTTTATTACAATCTTTATTAGTTATACTATTTATTATAGTATTTAACTACTTTGTTCTAACAAAGCTATATTCTATTATTAGAGAATAGTTCTTGTTACCTATCTATTCTTTACACTTTTAAAGTTAATAAAGATACTTCTATTTAGTAGTAAAGTATACTTTATACTTTATACTCTATCTTTTACTTTTCTACTAGAATCTTTCTATTATTTTTATTAGTATCTACTTTATATTGCTTATTTCTACTCTAAGTTTTAGATAAAAGTAACTTTTATATTTCTATAGCTTTATAGCTCTATATTACTAGCTCTAATTATACTTTTAGTTTTACTAGAAAAGTTTCTATAACTATTACTATCTTAAATATATTATTATAATTAAAATAGAAGAAATCTAGATATAGAAAGAAGAAGAAAAGATTTTTTTTTAAGCTCTATATCTAGACTACTAGACTAGCTAGACTAAAGACTTGTTACTATTTTTTTAAATAAAATAGTAAGCGAATTTTTAGGTTTACTATAATTTAACTTCTAAATATTCTAGATAATAGTATACTAGGTTTAAAATTAGCTTTAAAATATAGCTTTCTAAACTAATATCTTCTTATAATACTAGAGAAAAAAGAATAGTTTTTTAAAACTATTAAAATTTCTATAGTTTTACTTATTCTATACTAAAAGATTTTAAGTATTAGCTACTTTTAATAACCTTAAGATTAAAATCTTAAAGTCTAATATTATAGTATTTAAACTTACTTTTGCTAATATAAAATATATACTCTAGAAATAAAATGTTTTTTATTTTAGTTAAAGAATATAGTCTTCTTTTAAAGTTAGTAATATTTTATTATAAGTACTTTATAAAACTATAATAAGTTTTATATAGCTATAGCTTTAACTTATATAAGATAAAATAAAGTATACTAATAAGTATTATATATATATAAGTATATATAACTAGCCTTTTATTTATTAAATATAGTAGTTCTATAACGTAGATATAACGTAGCTAAGTAATATAGTATATAATTATAATGTAGGTATATTTTCTAAATACCTTTATTTATAGTATATAGTAGTATATATCTTTAATAAGATCTAGTTATTAAAAGTAAGCTATAAAGTTTATAGCGTCTATAAGCTTTACCTAGAAGAAAAGAGTAAAGATAGCTAAGCTTTTAGTATTCTATAAGCCTATTCTAAGAGTAAAAAAGAATAAGCTTAAGTAGCTAAGCTTTTCTTAGTCTATAAGCTTTATACTAAGGTATTAAGAAATTAGAAAGTTATATAATTCTATATAGCCTAAGAAGTACCTATATTATTAAACTTTAAAATAGATATTTAGTTTAAGCTATTATACTATATATATAACTAGTCTTTTAAAAATACTTTCTTAAGATTAGAACTTAATGTTTTAAAAATTTAATATTTTAGAGTAGTATAAGAAAGCTAAATCTAGAATAAGAAAGTTAATATCTTAACACTAGGCTATATATTATATAAGTATTAATATAAGTAGAAAGTTATAGAATAAATAAAAAATAAAACTCTTCTTTTAATAGTTTTTATAACCTTTTAAGTAAAAGCTCTAAAATAGTAATATTTTTAAATAAGATAATAAAAAGTAGTAAAAAACTATAAGAAAATAGACTTAGAAGTTTTAAGCTTAGTTTAAAAGATATAACTAGTATTTATAAGAAGAGTTTTTTATCTTTTTTTAATAATAGTTTTCTAGCGCTTAAGATAAACCTAGTAGATATTTAAGTAGTATACTTAAAAAGAAAGCTTCTAGCTTTCTTTAATATAAATATTTAGATTTTTTACTAGTCTAGTTATCTAGATATAGATCTTTACTTTTATAGTATTAAATTAGTAGTAAATATTATAGAAAGAACTTATTTATTTCCTATAGTTTTAAATAGTAATTAGAAAATTCTTATAGAATATACCTATAATAAAATACCTATATAGAGTTAGTTACATAGTAATATAGTAGAGTAATGTAAAAAAAGAGATATTAAAAAAGTTATAGTTTTTAAGGCTAGATATCTAGATAACTAGACTAGCTAGAACTAAAACTTTTAGTATTTTAGAAAGCTAAGAACTCCTTCTTTAAATTAGCTTACTAGAATATTTACTTAGTAAGCCTCTAGCGCTTATTAACTAGAGTTAAAATAAAGATAAAAAAAGAACCTTACTTTAACTAGCTATATCTTTTAAACTAAGCCTAAAAGAACTAATTTTATTTTTTTATATTATTCTTTATATTTTTATATATTTTTAGTAATTTTCTTAGAATTTTAGAAGTTCTACTTAAAGAGTTATTTAAGAATTTAAAAAAAAGCTAAAAAATAAACTTTATCTATATTACGTAATTTCTTAATAATATAAATACTTTTATCTTATATAGCCTTAATTTTAAATTTTAGCTTTTAATCTTTAGTTTTAATAAAGTTATACTACTTTAAAGCTTAAAATTCTTAAAATATTAAGTTTCTATTTTTAGACACTTTCTTCTATAAGCTAGTAATATATACTTATATAAACTACTTTTATTAGTATAATTTACTTTATATTTTATAATTAGCTTTTTATAGCTACTTTAACTTTATTAAAGTTTATTAAAATACTAAAAATAGAATATTACTATTTTTTAAACTAAGCTAAAATATAAAGCTAAAACTAAATATTTTTCACTATTAAACTATCTTTTTTTAGATAAGTATAAGTAAGTTATAAAGCTTTAAAGCTAGAATTTAAAATCTTAATTTAGAAATTACTAAAAATAGCTACTACTAAGATATTTTAGTATAAAATTAGTAAGACTATATAGAATCTATTAAATATAAAAAACTATACTTTTTTATACTATATAAAAAGATATACTCTAATTTAGAGAGTAGCTTTTTAAAGCTAATTTTTAGGCTAGTATTTTATAGTCTAGAGGCTTAGTAAGCTAGTTTACTAAACTAAAATATATTAGTTTAGTATCTTACTTTTTAGAATATTAAGAAACTTTTAGTCTAGCTACTCTACTTATCTAGATATTTAGCTTTAAAAAAGTATACTTTCTTTATATTTTCTTTTTTATATTACTCTACTATATTATATCTACTATAATACTATTTTTTATAATAGTTTTAAGATAATTAAAAAAGAATTATAAAAGTTATATAAGTAAGAGAATCTTATAAAACTATAGTAAGTATAGTAATTATAGTAAAGTATTAATATAAAGTAGAGTATTAAAATATAGTTAGTAACTCTATAAAGTAATCTTAATATAGGTATTTTTTTTAAATACTTTATACTTACTATATATAGCTATAATAATTTATAAAACTCTTTTATTATATTTACTATAAATATAAATTATAATAATAAATTTATAAAAATAAAAGTAATAAAAATTACTTTAGTATACTTAAAAGTAAACTTAGAAATAGTTATAAGTAAGCTATAGAGCTATAGAAATATTAGACTATTCTAAAAAGTTAATATAGAAGTATTCTAAGAAAACCTTCTAGTAAAGACTTTAGTAAAAGAGTAGACGTTAGACTATAGTATAATATAGTCTTTCTTTTAGCTATAAAAGTAAATAGATAGAAGTTTAGAAAGTATAGATAAATTCTAGGTCTAATAGTAAGTATAGTAATATAACTATTATAATATAACTTTTATAATTATAATTACTAATAAAACTTAAAACTATTTAAATAGTATAGTATCTAGTATAAGATCTAGATTCTTTTTTATATTTTAAAAGTTTTAAAAGTAACTTATAGAATAGAAAAAGTGCGCTTTCTCTAGAATTTTAGTATATTTATTTAAACTATAACTTTAGATAAAATTACTCTATTAGTTATAAACTAGAAAGTATATAAAATTAAATTATAATTTTATTTAAGTATTTAGACTTAATATTTCTTATAAAGTACTTTAGTATAAAATAGTTTTATAGCTACTCTAAATATAGAACTTTTAACTTATTTTTAAGTAATAATACTAAAGCTTTAAGTTTTAGCTTATTTATTCTTAAAATAAGTTAAACGTTTTATTACTTATTTTTTAGTTTTTTAGTAATAATTCTTACTTTTTTTATATAGTCTTTTAAGCTATAATACTATTAGCTTACTAATAAAGTATATAATATCTTAAATTACTCTATTATAGTAGCTTTTAGACTACTAATATCTAAGCTATTTTTAGTTTTTATATATTCTACTTTACTTACTTTAGTAATCTAATTTAATAAACTACGTCTACTATTATAGTTAATAAATACTTCTTTCTTAAATAGCTAATTTAATTTTATAAACCTTACTAATTAGCTTTTATTTTTTTTCTTACATTACTTAGCTATAATAAGTCTACTTTATAGAGAACTAGTATATTTAATAAAGTTATAGTCTAAAATTGTTAGTGTATTACTTAATATAGAGACGTTGTTTAGCTATCTTATGTTATAAACTACTTAATCTCTACCTACTTGTGCTTCGAAATCTGTCTACAGTGTACAGCAGAACAGGTACAAGCCGTCTATCGCAACACTACCGCTCGAGTCGTTGCTACCCGGCAGGTACCTTGTTTCCCACTCGAGCAGTTTTATCTCTCCATCAAGCGGTTCGCTCGGCGCAGGCGACACTGCCGAAACATCACTAACTCCTTCCAACCATGCCACCACTGCATCTGACATGTTGAAATCCATACCAGAAACCACGCTATCACGGCGACACAACGCCTCATCGTCTGCTTCGTTGCCGTCGTCTTCCTCAGAAGCACCAGTCCCTTCTTCCCCATCCTTTCCCTCAGCTTCGTCGTCGTTGTCGTCGTCGTCTTCTTCGGTCGAAGCGATAGGTGACACAGCCTCCTCCTCGACATCAACCTCAACAACATCCCAAACCCTATCATCATCCCTCGTCCACGCCTCAGTCCCATTCAACGGACTAAACGGCGTTTCGCCATATTCCTTCATGCAATCGATAGTAGCCAGTTTAACCGAAAGCTTCACCCCAGGTTCGCTATGTACGGGTGGCACGCTTGGTATCTCGCCACTGGGCCATAGCTTTGGTAATGCTGCAGCGAACGTTTGCCAGGCACGTTGTTTCCCATTCACAGCCCACTTTTGTCGGTAGTGCGCGAGGGTTCCGGAAAGGCCGTCGCGGTAGATTTGGTGCTCGACGAGTGATATGGTTTCGGTGATGTTTGTTGGGGTTGGGAAAGGTGGAGAGGAAGGGAGGTCAATAGATGACCTGCGGACGCGCACCAACTGCGTTCCAGCAGGCCGACTTCTTCTCGATCCTTCCCCTTTCTTCCCGTTCTCTTCCATGCCCATAGTGCCCTTCTCTTTCCACTGTTGAGCACTCCACCCCGGATTCACCACCGTAGGATCACCCCACTCCCCCTCCCTGGCCCAGAAGTAATAATGCGGTACATCGCACCCGGGAAACCTAACGAAGAACAAGTTCTCCAAACACTTCTTGCCCACACTATCTTGAACCGGCTCACTATACCCCAGATAAGCAGGTACATAGCACATGGCCAACGGCCGATACTGCGACGCCTCATACACCTCCGCCGTCATCTTCGCCTTATTCCTCTGCCGTTGCGCATGGCGTGCAGCGCGATCACTAGGATCGCCATTACCCTTTCCCTTCACGCGCAGCAACTTTCTGTTTTCGAGATACCATTTGTTGTATGTGTCGGCCAGGACTTTGGTTTCGTTTCGCGAACCGAGGTGGAAGTACATGTGTCCATTACAACCCTGTACAAGGGTGCGTCGAGCCCAATCCGTACCTCTTTCGATAACGGCTTTGCGGAGCGGGCCAAGGAGATGACCGTTACGCGCTGCGGATCGAACCAAAGGGTTCAGGATGGGGACGAAGTCCGGAGCGACGCCTGGTGGATACTTTGCTCCAGGCAACATGAGCTTTTGCTTGCTATACATCGTTGTAATCTTCAGAGGTGCATAAGGAACGGGACAGGGCAAGGGCAGCGGACACCATCTTTTGTAATCCCAACCTCCGGGTTTTGCTGATGGCATGGTTTGGTTGGGCCATTCGAAGAGGCGGAGTCTGCATCCAGGCTCGTAGATCTGGTTTACTGATGCAGCACTAGACTCTGAAGAACTGCTATCCCACGATTCCTCACTGAGCGCCTCACCGAATCTCTCGCGGTTGTACTCGTTCCCTGCGTCTTCGTCGTCTTCCGAGTCGGGATCACTCACAGTGTCATCACTAACGCTTTCGTCACGCTCTCTCCTCTCCTCTTTCTCTCTTCTTTTCTTTTGCTTAGCAACGAGCTGTGCCTTTTTCTCCGCAGCCTTTCTCTCCTCTTCCTTCTTTGCCTCCTCCAGCTTCCTTTGACGTGCAATACGGGCGTCCTGTTCAGCACGCTTTCTATTCTCGTCGTCGTGCTTCAAGGCCCAAGCCATCTCTACCTTCTTCATATCCTTGCGGTAGATACTACGCTCTTTCGCTGTTTCTACAAGCTCTTTGTAGTTGAGGTTGTCGTAGACGGAGTCAGTCTTATTCTCATCGCGTACTTTGTGCGTACCGCCACGTCTGTGTGATGAGCCTTGGTGGGTCTCATATGGCCCTGCAGAGCCGTGGTACGGTCGCGGGTTACGCCTCTTGGCTTTGCCTTTTGGCATCGTGGTGGCGGTTGTGCAGTGTTTCGTGAAATGTTTGTAAATGGGTAAATGCTAGTATTCCAGAAAACGAGCATTGGTTACTAGAAGCGCATACAAAGTGAGAGGAATGCGGAAGTGACGCTCGAGACATTGCTACGAATACAACTTCAAGAGATCACGTGTATTGGCCACACAAGTGTCTTTAACGAGTCACGGGTCAAAGACATGCGAGAGGCCTGCTTTGTGAACATGACTTGGCTTTGTCTCTGTAAGCATCACCAAGCGTGGTGTCGAGTCGTGCAAAAAGTGTCACAATGCGCTGCACAGCTTGATTATACATTCGAAACAATTCATTCGTAGGGTCTAGGGTATCTCGCTACGGTACGTTAACTTACATGCAACACAGTGGATGGGAAGATGCTTACAGTTCCGACTTCTCGCCATCCAGCTTCCGCTTCTCTGCCTTGAAGTCGAAAAAGCCCTCTAGCTCCATCCACTCTGCCGTGAACGCCATGACTAGCTTCGTCCAGTCCTCTACCGTATCCATATCCAAGTGCTCTCCGTCGTCTTCGATAGTGTGCCACACATGCGGGAAGGGCGTAGGTATCATATGCAAAATCTCGACGCCGCGAGCCATGAACGGAACGTGATCGTCCTGGACGAAGCCGCCCATGAACTGATCATTCCCTTTGTTCGCGTCGGGGAGGAATGGCCGTTCATCGCGAGGCTTCTTATTCTCCCGCTTTGCCATCTTCGATTCGTGGTTCGGAGAAGACTTCATCAAGCCTAGCTTCCGCAGGCGTGCCTCGGCAGTCGCCATATGCTTATATGCCCAATGTGTCGTCTTGAAGTATGAAGGGACCTTTGGACCCTTGGAGCCCAGAAGGTCAAGTAGCAGGAATAGGTCGATCGAATCGAGCGGGGTGCGGTATATCGATGATGCGACGTGGAAAGTCGACTCCCAGTCTTCAGCGAGGGCTCTGTTATGCGTCAGTAAGTGATCGCCAAGAAAGATAAGGTGAGGCATACCGCGCGCCGTAGAGACTGTCGCTGTCGGTCCAGCTCTTGAACGCCTCCTCGCCGTCCAGCAACAGTATCTGCACACCCTTGTGCTCCACGTCGAAGTCGTCGGGGTCGGCCGCTGCCCATTTCTTGGTCAGCGCCGCATCGATGCTGCGCGCGATATGCAAGATCATGGCGCATGGGGCTGCGCTGTCGGTCGCCCCAATGAAGCCCGTCGGCGTGTACTTGCTGTCGTAGTGGGCGACGAGAGCCAATCTCGAGACGTCTCCCTCGGAGCTACCCGGCGGATCGCGTGTCGCAATGATGTTCACAAAAGGCACTTCCTTGCCCTTGCTTACCGGTGTCGTCGACGTCGAATTGTGCATTTCTAGCCTCCATTCCGGCAATTGCGACTTGAAGAAGTCTAGGAAATGTTGGCGTACGGCGACATTGCCTTCGGTTCCAGAGACTCTGGGTACCAGGATTGGCGCCAGCAAAGAGCCTTTCTTTATGTCGAAGTCATCGCCCGGTCCCGGCAGGTGCTTGAGTGTATGGTCGCTGAGGCCCTGGTAGGCGTATCCGAGGGACAAGAAGGAAACGAGCGACAGCAGCGCAAATGCGAACAACATGCTCTCGACTGATCACATGAAGCGCACGCAACGACGTTAAAACACTGCAACAGATAGCTTACAACCGAGAAAGGAGCATGACGGCGCCGGTCGTTGAGTGGGCCGCTTGCAGCTGGTCGAGGGAACCGTGGCATCTCTCCGCACATGAGCTTGACCCGCTTCGGCTAGAGTTGCCGCGGCAAGCCGATCATCCCACGTGACACCGTGACATCTCAACAAGCACCATCGCAGCCCATCCACGCCCCTACACGTCCGTACAGCTTCATTGCTGAGTAAGCCTGCTGCTACGACCACCAGCGGCCAAACCTTGCCGTCGCGCAGTGACGGGATTCTGCGCATCGAGGCCTGACAAACCCCACACACGTGTGCAATTTTCTTCACGGCCGTTGACTGCAGACAGTATGCAGCCACGGCTTCTCGCCTTTGCGGCCGCTTTTCGAAGCACAGCGCCCACACTTAGAGGCACACGACCCGTCGCTCAAGCTCGCCTCAGTGGATACATTTGCCGGAGTTGTCAACGAAAATTCACCACGATACGCAGAGATCCCACATTACCATTACAAAAGGGAAAGAAGCCTAAGTCGGCACTCGAACCAGTCGGAAAAGAGAATGAGAAGAGTAGGTAATGGCTCGAACGTAGTCGGACGACGAACAAGGAGCAATCATTGTTAACGAATATGTCCAGTGTATGCGTCCAGACTACTGATCTACGATGCGGGCGACGCACGAACGACGTGGATATCCTTTTGGAAAGCAATGGCTTTGTTGCAATTTGGCACAACTCTCGTCTTCGGTGTGCCTCCATTGTGGAACAACGAGAATCAACCTGATGAGAGAGTACGGAAGATGCAGGCCATAACCGGTAAGTGAACTTTGTTAATGCTTGGTGAACTGTCACGACCCGAATCTCTTCATCTACACCACTTTCCTTGCCAAATGCACCAGACCAATTCCCCTCTCTCGTCACATCGATTCGATCTGGATCTGGCGTCATCATACGTGGGCATATATCTTCTACGTCCCTGATATGTCCAACCCGTCTTGCGCAGGTCCGAACCAGCACTCATCACGTGGTGGCGGCATGCTGTTCCCTCACATACTCCTTCAACCACAACCTCGTCTCAGAACCAAAGCAACCAAACGCCACACGTTTTCTGTATTCATCCAGTTGGTGTTGCAAGAGATCTAACACCCCCCCCCCAGTCGGCATCCTCGGCACCATCCCCACCCTAACCCTCGCCTACCTAACCGCCCCCTTCGTCCACCAAGTCTTCCTCCAAATCCCCACCACCGCCAACTACGCGCGCCGCTCCCGGCCCGAACTCCTCCGTTTCGCCAGGAGCCTCCGCCAAAACACCGCCGCCACCGCAAACACAAAGCTCGAATTCGTTACTTTGCGAATCTTCCCCTTCCGCAAACACACCACCGCTTTCCTGCACGAACTCCGCGCTCTGCCGCCGAAAAAACTGCGTCTGGCAAACATTGAGTTACCGAAGAGTGAAGCGTGGGTTAAGAGGCAGAGGGAAAAGGGTATTTTCAAGCGTATGTTGGAAGTCATGGGTGAACCGCGTTTCAAATTCTACGTTAAAGAAGGGCGGTTGTACACGATGAAGACGGGTGTACCGGGCGTGTGGGAAGAGGTAGCGGTGAGGATCCAGGAGCAGACCGTTGAGGAAGCGGAGAGGGAGAGAGTAGAGCGGGAGAACGGGAAGCGGGGTGTTGGAGCGAGGAAGGAGGTGCCGAAGAAACCGGTGGTCACGACTGTTGCGAGGCGTGGTGGGGGTCAGGCCAAGGTCGCGAGGCAAACTACGAGGAGGAGAGATTTCATGTCAGAGTGAATGTTAACCTTGAGGCTTGCGATCCAATATATCAAGATAGAACGATTTGCTAAGCGAAAGAGTATATACAAGTCGTCTGTTCCCGATAGCCTCCTAACCCCAACTAGTTTACTCGTTTCAACAGGTCTACTGAAGCATGAGTTATGCCTGCTCCAGAACCTCTGGCTTCTCCTTCTCCATGCTACTCTTGTGGAAATCGGCGACACCGTCGTCATGCACAAGGCCAGAGCGCGCGAGGAGGTCGGTAAGTCCGACTTCGCGGTGAACCTCGGCCCAGCGCTCTTTCTCGCGCTCTGCGGTACCGGCGGAGCCAAAGAGGGTGTCCATTTCTTCCTGGGAGGGTCGTTAGCAAACAGCACGCATGCAGATGGTCGAGTGAGGAAACTTACGAGAGAAACACCCTTGGTCTCCGGGAAGAAGAAGAAGATAAACGCAGCGCCCATAGCAGTGAAGATACCGAAGAAGATATAGGTGCCATAGCGAAGATGCGTAAGCATGTCCGGGGTGACTTGACCGACAATGAAGTTGTTCATCCAGTTGGACGAAGCACCAAGCGCAATACCATATGGACGATTAGACATGGGCCAGATCTCCGCGATGACAATCCAAGCACATGGACCCCATGAGTAGCCGAAGAAGATGACAAAGAGCCACACGAAGACACAGGCAGCCCAACCAGCACCCTGGTGGCTGGCCCAGCTGTCCTCGTAGCTGGCAGAGATACCGGCGATGATGAAGTGGCAGGCTGCCATGCCGATGGCACCGCTGACGAGTACGGGCTTACGACCCAGTTTGTCGACGTACATGACCGCAGGAACTGTAGATTCGTTAGCGCGGTGACGTGAAGTGGTTAGTTACTGTGAGAACTTACTTGTTGCGAGGAACATGACAATACCAACAACGCCTGTGGCGAGAAGGTTGATCGAGTTGCCCGATAGCCCAAGGTCTTGGAAGATGCTTGGAGCATAGTATAGAATGGCGTTGATACCCGTCTAAACGTTGGTTCATCAGTCAGTCCATATCTTATATGCGATCCGCAGGTATTCACTTACCCATTGTTGGAAGAACATGGTGAGAGTGGAGATCAGGACACGCTTGAACATGCCTCTAGTAGTAAAGAGACTACCAATAGCGACGAATTGCAGCTTGAAGACCGACAACGCGCTCATGTCCTGGAGATGGGGGAATCGCTCGGCCAGAGACTTCTTCTCGAAGAGACTTTGGGCGCGGATCTCGGCGTACTCAAGCTCGATGAGTTCGTGCTCCTGGGGGAGGCTACGAAGGTTGGCGAGTACACGGCGCGCCTCTGCCTCACGGCCGTGATGGACAAGCCAACGGGGAGAGAAAGGCATGAAGATCATACCAGCACCGAGCAGCACAGCGGGAGCCAGTTGCAGAGCGAGAGGGAGAAGCCAAGCAGCTTCCTTCTGTCCGTCTCTCCCGGTGCCACCGATGTAGTTGGTGCCGTAGTCGATCCAGAAACTGATCATGATACCCAGGGTAATGCTCAATTGCTGAAGACCCACAAGCGCACCTCGTACCTCGGGAGGTGCGATCTCGGCGTTGTACATGGGGACGATCATGGACAAGGCACCGACACCCATACCCGTAACGAATCGGCCACCGAGAATTGCATTGTGGCCTTGACCGGCGGAAGCAGTGCATTGAACGACGACACCGACCATGAAGACGGCGACGCTGACGAGGATGGCGTATTTACGGGAGAGGATCTCAGCGATGAATCCAGAGTACATTGTTCCGAACCAGGCACCGAGTTCGAGGATGGATACGAGCCAGCCCTGCTTGGATGAGTTCCATTCGAGTGTTTCTTGATCCGCGATGTAGTCGCCCATATCTGAGCATCTGTAAGTGACTTGCCTCTAGTTGTAGTGGTGAGACTTTACTTACGTTCCTTGAAGGAAGGCATGGTCAGAACACCGGAGAAGACACCCTGGTTGTAACCATACAACAGTCCACCCAGGCAGGCAAAGCATGCGATACCAAATACTCTGGCGTTTTTGACCAGGGCCATGGGTCCCGATGCACCTGCGAGCGCTTGACGGCGAGCCAGAGCGGCCACCTCAAAGTCGCCGGCACCACCACCAACTGGAGCCATGATGACGATTCGAGTGCGTTCGTGAAAGAAAGATCGAAGTAAAGATCGTCAAAGAATGGAATAAGGCACAAAAGTGCAGGGTTAGTCAGTAAGCTCTTCGCGAAGCCCTTGACAATTGAATCCCAAGATCAGGAAAGACATGGGGAATGCAGTCCTACATATGCATTTCCATTTCGCTCGGGCGGCCACCCAAGTCAGCATACCATTGTCTCGGGTAACGGGCCTACACGCTGAGTGGTTGATGCTGCGAAGCTTTCCCATGGCGGATAAAGAGACGGTTAAGCTCCATGGCACCAACGCTTATTTCGGGCTGCGGCAGCGATTCAAGCATTGGTGGCTGTCCTGGCATTGGCGCTCCATTGCTTGTAACGTCCCGCGAGGAAGCAGGCTAGAAGCCACTGACGGCTGGGCGCACTATTGACAAGAGTCGCGGAGGGTGGAGGCGACGCGGGGAGAACGCGTTTGGGCGCACAGATGCTGAGCAATCACGGCTGAATCGACCGTTTTGTGAGATCGTTACGTGTTGGAGCTGGCACGAGACCGACCGCCTTTTCAACCTGATGCCTCTGTCTTGCGATGGCCTGCTCAAGGTGAATGCCATCCAGATCCGAATTTCTGGTAGAGTAACAGGCTTTGTCGTCCAGCTTGCATACCCAGAGGCATACCGAGCAGCCACCGCGCGTCGTATTAATTAACAGCGCGTATCTGCCGGTCCGCGGACACCCATGCCGCCAGCCCCCGCCTCTTCGAGCTGGCAGCCCATGAGTGTGGAGACTCCACAGCGGGATGTTAGCGCGTCGTTTGCATTTTGCCTAAATGCTCTTCCCTCGGCGTTCACATGGTGCGAAGGATCACGGCGCTGCGGCGCTGCGGTAAGATCGGAGCCTTTGTCGCCAGGTCAGTCACGGGATGCGATCGATGAGTCGGTTCCGACCTTTATTTCCGCGAGGATTGGATGAGCGAGATTTGACCGTGAGGTAGAGCGGGCATGTAGAGCTGACGGCGCGGAGATGGCCACATAGATTGTGGGTTGAAGCGTTCGGGCCCACTGGCTGAGGATGCAGCCAATCACGATGAGGTCAGCAGCGACGTCATGCACTTGCCGACCTCCGATGCCATCGCCATCGTCGAGAGTGCCCAGGTGCACAGCTTCCCGTTCACATGCTCCAACGCCACCTCATCGCTAAGTTACTTCCAGGATTTTGACGACATTCTGGAACTGAGACACGCAGCACCAAGGACAACAATGTTGTGCGATGCTGCAGATTGATTGCGGCGGTGCGCTAGCCCGAATGCACGTCTGTGGCTCAGCAGTCTGCCTTCCCGCGCCTTCCTGCTTTCTCATACTCATCATCCTTTCCATCGCACTGGTTGGGGCTATCTTGTACGTTCAGAAAGAATAGAGTGCGCCTTTGACTCAGACTGCTGTCTGGTTCTAGGTTCCAAGGTTGGGTTTCAAAATCCTTCGCCCCATCCTTCGGCGACTAAAGGCGAGGCTCTGTTGTGTGGCATATATAGTCACGTGCCAAATGTTGCCCTGATATCGAAGAGTGACTCCGAGCCAGGGGGCCGGATGCTGTGGCTCCGCTGCCTTTGTTGCATTGTTGATATAGCCAGCCAATGAGCAGCTTCGAGGCTTCCAGGTCTGTCGCAGTGCCCTCATCACCTGATATGCCGTAAAATACCCGTGGGGAACGCCAACAACGACCAACACTCACACCGAGCGACGCTGGTCCCAACGAGTTATTAAAGTACTTTGCGTTCCCCTTCAGCTTTGTCTAACTGATACTTTGAAGATTCTACGTGTGCGATAACCTCACATCCAATCTATCCCCCACCTCTATTTTACATTTCCTCCCTGCGTCTCCGTGCTGCGTCTCCAACCTGCACCTCCTGCCTGCGTCTACTCCGATAAAACCGAAACATGAGCGGCGATTCATGCACCAGCGCCGACATCCGCTCAAAACGAGATTTGAAGCAACTTTGCGAAGTCGTACACATAGAGACCGGTGCATTTATACGATCAACCTTCTCGTACATCGATGATCACGAGAGAGCATGGTTTGGTCAGACAACGGAGAAGACAAAATATGATCTGACAGTTGAGGATCTGAATCGACTTTTGCAACAAGTTCCTGACGAGAAGATATATCCGCTGAAGACTACCGGTCTGTCTATAGTACCAGAAGAAACCCGGAGCCAGTACTACATCAAGCGACCTAAGCTATTGTGTCTGGATAATGAAGCGGAGACAAAGCTTCTGCCCCAGCTGCTACTCGGAGAAGCAGAGGTGTTACAGTTCCTCGAAGAGAATCCCCATCCGAACATTATCAGGTTCCATGGTTGCACTGTCAATCGCAGTCGTGTTACCGGTATTGCTCTGGATCAGTACAGTGTCATGTTGCAATACCGTCACGAGGATGTCTCACAGCCTCTCGATATCGAGGCTTGCATGCGCGGTATTCGTTCGGCTCTCAAACACCTTCATTCTCTTGGACTCGCGCACAACGATCTCAATCCCTCAAATATTGCTCTCGACACCAATGACAACCCAGTCCTACTAGACTTTGGGTCTTGCAGAAGGTTCGGTGAAGTCCTTCTCACCGGAGGTACACCTGGCTGGATAGATGAGGATTATTCTACATTAGCTCAACGTCACGACGAATTTGCCGCGGAGAAGGTAGAGGCGTGGCTTCTGAGTAACACACAAGAGTATGTGTAGACGTATGAGGATTGGGGTGTACTTAATACCCTCGCCGCCGGGAGACTGCTTCAATAAGCATCTTGATTTGTGCAAGACGTGATGTTAACCTCGCACCAGACACATAGAGCAATGTGTAAGATTGCCTACTTATTCTTGAATCTTTGCTGTCTCTATATCCTGCCTCTGGATGTTGTCCAAAATGGCTTCTGGGCAGCCTAAGGTTTGTTGATTCCGTCGATTCGGTTTGTTGTCAGACGTTGGGTAATGTCTGAAGATGCGATTCTTCTCTCTCTCTTACAAGTATCTCCTTGCTTATAGGTAAGACAGGTGAAGCTATAGTGGATTTCAGCAGTGAGGCTGTGCTGACCCTACAATACGTCATGCTGCATATTGATCCCTGCCAACACGACCAATTGTTCTGGGAGAAGCTGGGGGCGGCCGCAGCAATACGCACGGTGCTTGTTGGTACAAAGCCCCTTCCACGAATCGCTGAACACACATCCCTACTCCTGGATTAGACGAAGTACATTGCCGCAGTTGGCGCGATTCAAAGGCCCTCTGCGTCCCAGATATCGCTCCGTGTCGCGTCTCCCTTCTCTAGCACCGTCGAGCCCAATCGCTAGACAAGTTCGCTTCGGCTTGCAGCTGGTAACCTTTGCGCTCCCACTCACACTTGATTGTACTTGTAAGTGTTGTGTTCTCTCCTGCGTTTTGTGTATCTTACCTTCTTAGGCAGCGTCTACTCTCCTACGCTTCAACCTTTCTTGTAAGATGCTCACAACAAAACACACGCTCTATCCAATCTCTGGCATACATATCTTAGCTGATTGTGAGGCTTCAGCTTCGTCGTTTACCAAATCCGGGAGTTTAGTACGGTTAACCTGAAGAGCAATCTTGTTGAAGGTTGATTGGGCAGCTTTAGCGAGCTTGAACAAGAGCCTTCCCAGGCTCTGCTTGCTCGATTTGCGAAGAGCTGGGACGTCTCTGTATCGGGTCGTATCGCCCCCAACGACGCCACAGGTCTAAGATCGCGCCACTCTTGAAGTGCTACGACTAAGCTCTAGCCTGAGTCAGACAGCGCAAACTAGTGGGACAGACAAGCCTAGCAAAACAGCCCCGACGCGAAGTACTAAGGCAACTTCTACCGCGCAGACCACCTCTCTGCAGTCGACTACAGACATGACCTCCACGACACAGAGCGCGAGTTCTACTGTTACTTCGAACCAGACATCGTCATCTAGTAGAGAGACGCCGACATCCGCAGCTGATCTCAAACGAGAATACATGATTGCAACCAAACATGGCGTGCCTTGGACAAGTTTCAAGACCTTCATTGACACCCTTGACGGAGGTGAGGGATTCTTGGCCAGATTCGACGGTATTGGCAGCTATATGTACGCCACCATGCTCAACAGTACGCAAGCAGCAGAAATAGCTGATACGCATGACTGGATTGAATGGATCGGCCTCAACACGGGCGGAGTGCCGGAAGAAGAGCTAGAGGAGTTCGCAGAGGAAAGACGGGATTCCAGTGTTGACCCTGTACAGTGGTACCATATCGCTAGCGAGCACGACACGCCTTGGGAGAAGTTTAAAGCCCTGATTGACACACTTGACGGGGTCGAAAACTCACTGGTTAGATGGGACTATATCGGAAGTTACATGTACGTTGCCAAAATGACAGCCACGCAAGCAACAGAAATTTCTGAATCCCATGACTTCATCAAGTGGATTGGTATCAACGATGGCGGGGTGCCGGAAGAAGAGCTAGAGAATCTTGCAGAGCAAGGACGAGCTGTCGGTGTAGCGCAGACTGGACAAAGGTCGCTATCAGATACGCCACAGCCGCTCAGAATACCTGCATCGACGATCTTGCATCCCGAAACTGCATCTGGGGATGACCACCATATTCCGCCGAATGACATGGTATCGTCGAGAATGACTGAAGATCGTGGGAATAAACTACCCGCAAGTATCAAACTTAGCGAGAGCTTTACTGCCACTGTGAATCGGACTTTGTCATCCAGTAGTGAGACGCCGATCGCGACCGCAACAACCGAGCAAGAGTATGCGATACACAGCAAGAATGATACCCCTCCTGATGTCTTCAAGAGTTTCATCGACGAGCTCGACGGAGGGAAAGGACACCTATATATCTGGGAGGCTCTTGGTGGGCAGCTGTACATAACTTTGCTCACCGCCGCGCAAGCAAAGGAGCTGCCCGAGAATCACGACTTCATCGAATATGTCTTTCGCAACACGATTGCGGAGGCTTTCGAGGGTAACGAAGAATCTC